AAGGGTTCATTTGCACTTTAAAGTAAAACCATTAAAGGAAGGTGGAAGAGATCTGACAAACTCTTCTTGTGCATGTATGTCATGCCAAGTTGGGGAATCAAACCTGAGACCTTGAAGAAGCAAGAGGAGAGTATACGTGTACTACTGCTGCACAATCCTTGATTCTCCCAGGTTGTCTTGTAGTTTTGTTTACAGCCATTCTCAATCAATCGCCCTCTAGCGATTGTTTCTGTTGCGACGAAGAAGATTTTGGTGGACGTCAATCGCAAGGCATTTCCATGACATTGTTGGAAAACACAAAGCTATAAGGGCACATGCCTATAGAATGTCATGGAAACGCCTTGATTGACATCCACCAAAAGCTTTTTCGTTTTGACAGAAACAATTGCTAGCACAGTGCGTGTGATTGAGATTGGCAGTAAGATACTATGGTAAATCTTGGTTGATGTGGATATTTGGACATCACTGGTTTGGTGTGAAAGAATCAAAACAATATTTATGAAGCCTTAGGAACAAAGATTTAATAATTATTGATTTCCACTTCAGGATGGTTTCCAAGCAGCAGATAACCTGAATGAAATGCAGTGTATGTGGTATCAGACAGAATGTGGTTATGCTTATCTGCGGCTAGGGAAGCTAGGGGAAGCACTAAAGAAGGCCCATGAGCTAGATAAACATTTTGAGGAGATAACAGAAGACCAGTTCGACTTCCATACATATTGTATGAGAAAGATGACTCTCTGTGCTTATGTAAAGTAAGGAAGCATGCTTTTGTTTCAAAGAAAATAATCTCAGAACAGCCTTCACTTTTGACCATCTTTTGTATACTATTAGGTTGTTACGCCTGGAAGATGTCTTAAGGAGTCACAAGTTTTACTTTAAAGCTGCACAAATAGCAGTAGAGGTGAGGTTTTTTTATCATTATGATTATCAAGACTGTAATTTAATGGAATAATGATAATGAACAACATATAAAGTGTTGCAGGTAACACAACAGGTAATACAATGAAATTTTACGCAAGGCAAAACCTGAAATTCTTGCTGAGGTCAATTTTCGGTGATGTTAATGATAAGATAATACTGCTAACTGACAAAATGCACTTTTTTACGTTAGTGCTATTTACGATTGCACGACAAGCCTCTGACATCGAGTGATGAGGATGATGATCTGAATAACAGCCATCTGTCTGCCAAGGAGCTGAAAAAGCTACGCAGCAAACAGAGACGTGCAGAGAAAAAAGCTCAGCACCAGGAGAATATGAAAGGTAAGATTCATAGTACATTGGAAATGATGCTCAATGAATGGAAATGATTGGAAAGGAAAAAGGTGTAATTAAGTTTAGCATATGTTTGTGTAGCTTTACCAAAACCATCTTTATACTGTAGTAGTATTATATCTGCAGGGTAGACTGTTGCAATGCAGGGGCATATATGTAGTGAGGTCTCTGTTTTAGGGGGAAGGGGAAAGTTACCATTTTCCTGCACGGACATGGCACAGGGCACGAAATTACCTTTTAAACCCACTAGCAAAACCTTGCTAAGTTTTGTTTGCATTAGCAAAAATTTCAAAGTCACTAGCCTCTTACTTGATTCGGGTTGATGTGGGACTGTGGTCATACTCACAAAACTTAGCTAATTAAGTTTTTGGTCACTCGCTAAATACAAAGTTTCACCTGCATTTTATAAGTTTGTGAGCGTTAATTTTTGTACCCTGGTACATGTGTACGTAATGTGGGCTCTTTCTCTTGTACTCCCAGTTTCCTGTCCAATTGTTCAGTAAAACCTTTTGGGGGGCTCACCACTCGCAAAATGCATTTGCCCAAAAGGAGTCACATCCTAATGACATGAAGTCATGTTAATTTTAGTTACTTACAATACAGGTCATCAAAATGAACTGTATCATCACTTACTCCAAGGAAGGACTAACGTCCGAAACGTCAGTTTCACAAAGCTTTTTACAGTGATTCAATTTATCCACAATTTCTTGCTGTATCATCACTATATTGATTGTCTCTAATTATTAAAAGCAAATGAGGTCAAAGAATCAAAGGATGCAGAGAAGAAAACTGAAGCAACAAAAGATTCTTCTCTTGACCCAGACGCTTTAGCGAGGGTAAGAAATGACAACTAAAAATACCCACATAATCATAATCTTACAACCCATTTAAACCATTGTTTCCCTTCATGCAGACACACAAAACTTCACCTTCTTCTCTACCCTATACACAACCTATTTCAGTTTTATTAGTAGTAATTGACTTTGCCAAGTTGGACGTGTTAAGATACTTACCAATTCACTGTTGGGGAGCACGCAGTGTGAGGTTTGTAGGCCTTGGGGAGGAGGTGTGGGGGCGTTCGGGGTGGGGATGATCACTCCATGGGATTTTTAGAAACCTACATGAGTAGATAGTAGTAATGATCTTGAAAACTGACTTCAGATGGGACTTAATGCAGAAAGATTATTCAGTTGTCTGTTTTGTTTTAACTTGTTTAAAGTTCCATTTTTGTCAGGTATTCTGGAAAAAAAAGGTTTATGCCTTGTGATAAGACTTTATGATTTATAATGTTTTTTAGGTGTCAGACCCATTGGATCAAGCCTTGAAGTTTGTGAAGCCTTTGCAGAGTTTAGCTTCCCATCGTATTGAAACCCACTTGATGGCTTATGAAATTTATTACAGAAAAGGTACAATCTAACTTCATTACTTTGTCTAGGCCATTAACTCTACAGGATAGCACACTCCTAAACGTCATACACCTTTAAGTAATATTTCAAAGCCGACAATGAGGACTGGATGGGATTTCAAGTCCAAGCAATTAGTTCCAGTCCTTGGCTTCGCCTCAGACTGAAACTAATTGTGTGGACTTGAAATCCTGTCCAGTCCAATATTGGAGCCTTGAAATGACTTCTCATGCTCATTATTATTCGACTTGGAGTAACTGCAACAAAATTAATTCCTTTCACATTACTTTACAAGGTTACAGGTAACAACACGTGACCTAAAATAGCCCATTGATTGGCTGGTTTCCTCATGAATCATTAATGAGTATGAGAAATATGCTTGAATGTTGCCCTTGTAGGTTATGCTTACAAAGTGTGTCCATGACATTTTCAGAAAAAGAAAAAGTTTTTAAGGACAACTAACGTCACGAAAACACCATGATTGACATTTACCAAAACCTACTTTGTCATGTCAACGGTTCCATGTGACTATTGAGAAGCACTGTAATATCAGTTGAAAATGTTTTTACTCTTCTAGGCAAGCTTTTATTGATGTTACAAGCAATAAAGCGAGCTTTTCGTATTGATCCTGAGAATGCCAAACTACATGAGTGTATCATTAGATTTTCTAGAAAAGGTAAGAAACACGCTTCTGATAAAATAAGAAATAGGCCAGGGTTCATTGTGGTTCTCAAAGAATCTCGCCCATGTGATTAGCAAAAGAGTAAGATTGCATGGCCACTCTGCGAATGGTTCAATGTTTGAAGTTATTATCTCTTAACTGCACTATAAATGTTTTATAATTTTTGCATTTTATAAGTAAAAAATATATAATGGATTGTTCATAATGCAAAGAGTTCTTTAAGAATTTTATCCAAAAGATCCCTAACTTCCTAAAAGAAAGAGCAAACCAAGTTTTAGACCTGATGAAACACGATCTGCGAGTTTATTAAACGGCTTAGAAAACTCATAATGTATGTTCTCATATTGTACCGAATAGACCTATCCCGAATTCGCTTGACTGACCATGAAACAATGGTTTGAAATCGAGAATGAACTTGGTTCTTTTACTCATCAAGTTCAACCTCGACTTGACACCATTGTCCCGTGGTTAGTCCAGCGAATTTGGGATAGGTCTATTCTTTACGAAATGAACCAAGTTTGATAGAAAAAATCCAACTTAAAGTTTATGCAAATGAAGACTAATCTATATCAGATAAAAAACCTCCTTCATGGTCATGATTTCTATTGTGTTTCCTTCATGAATTATTAATGAGTTTTCTAAGATAGCTTTAAAAAATTCCAATAGATTTTACAATGTCACAAAATCTTGCTGTCGAACCAAAGGTATTCCACGGTGCATTGCAAATTATTCCCTGTGGTGGATAGGGCTAGGGTAAACAGTGGTCCACTGAACCCAAAGTATCCCTTGATGCATTGCAATGAGAGAGCTCTTAATTGGATTTTTTCTTTCTGTTTTTTCTATCTAGTGGCTGAATCCACTAGTATAAGAGAACCAGTAGCTGTGTTGATTAAACGTGAACTGAAGGCTATCGTTGGTGATGAAGACATGATGCAGTACAACAAGAAATTTATCGAGAAGGGACGGGAATCTGTTACCAAAAGATTAGCAGGTTTGTCTTCAAAAAAGAAAACTCATGTTCCTTCTATCCTCTTTCCAGTCCCCACTACCACAATCGGGCCTTTTCAAAAATATCTTTTCATATTCAATATTAAAACTCCTTTGAGAATACCAAGACAATAGTGAAAATAAGCATAACGAAAAAAGCCCTAAAAAGGGATTCTGGAAGTGTAGGTATGAAGCTCATCATGCTTGAGGTCTAATGGCTGAATGCAAGAGAAGTGAAAAAAGGCACTATGAGTAGAACGTTGGTTGTATTCTATGCGCAATGATTCATTTGTGTAGCACAAACAAATGCAGACCAAAAAAGTTTGGTACGAGCGTACCATGCCGTGACGCTGCTATAGCAAAGCTTTTTCATTGGCTAAGCAATAATGTCACTCGGATATCATCAATACCATAAGGTAATAATGCCAAGGGAATGAATGGACTTGACATATAAATCTATTGTTGGTTTGAATCGCAGGTGCCAAGATGATGTATTGTCTTGACCCATCTCGAAAGGAAGAGGCACTAAGTTTGGCAACAGATTTATCAGATACTTTGATAGATAGAAATCGAACGGTAAGGGAACCAATAACCGAGCCTGTGGCATACCACAGGCATCTAACAAAATAGACGATATCTTTGAGTATTTTGGGGAGTGCCAACATTAAACTTTAATATCTTTTGTTTTAGAATTGTACAATGGTTTTCAACTCGCTAAAGGAAGGTGATTTTGGCGAATGTAATGAAGCAAGCCAGAAATACAAGAATGGATGTCACGAGCTCTTTAGGTATTCTAATCTTTTCTCTGGAGACGACAACTCCCCTAAAGTAAATGGACTCGACGAAAAACCCATGGCAGAAGAAGATCCTGTATGCGATGGAGAAGCGTAGGACTGTACGAATTTAATTGGGATATTTCAAAATGTTTAAGCACAGGAGTGCACTTTGTATCTCATCTTCAAACGATGACTTTGAAAAGGCCATTGAATTCTGACTGCATTGTCCTTTTTGAAAGATCTTCCTTGAAATGACTGCCAGTGTTTAGAACCAACATTCCCAGTCCGTGGAAATGTGATGAACTTGGTGAACAGCTAGTTTAATTTCGTGTGCTTCTCGCACGTCCTGTGGTTGTACGGTGGGTACAATCATGTGAACATTAAAACCAAAATCACCTAGAAGGAAAACGATTCTAAAGACAAAAATTATTAATGCTAGTTTTTAAATTTTTTGCTTTGCACATTGTAGGTCTAACTCTTGGTTTGTTAATCCATGTATTAGATATTTTGTAACGGTCATTCTCTGGTAAATTGATTTTCTTTCCTGGTTGAGTTTTCACAACTACCTGGGAATTGAGCCTTAAAATTGGTGAATAATTATATTTTTATCTTGCTCACTTCCGGTCTTGAAATGATTTTTTTTCTTTTCTGGCTTTGAAACGAGAGCTTGTAAACATTTATCATTTTATTACCAAAAAGACTAGTCGACTGACTCTTACAGAAATCCCCAAGACAAGACAATAATAAACAACACATAGGATGTTAAGATGAGGTAGTTGCTCTTCTTAAATTTATCGACACGAGTTCCATATCTGGCCATTGCATATACGTTTAGTTCCACTCGTGCTTCTTAGATAAAGTTAAACTTTACATGGACGGTACCGCATCAAAAACAATGAATTTCAGTCTCCTTTTATGTCATTAGGTTGGGCTGTAGTCTCCTACGCAACCGCTATTAGTTTCGTCACGCAACGCTTACTCCCCTAAGTGAGTGACCAAACTAATAGCGGCTGCGTAGGAGACTAGTTGGGCTGTCTCCCAAACAAAATGGGTCCCTTCAATGGGTCTGACATCCCATCTAGGGAGGGGTGGGGGAAGAATGATACTCCTAGTAGCAACGTATGTTAGGCAAACTGTAGTACTAGCCTTCTTTGCAAACTTCTCCAGCTCGAGTTCTAGTATGCAAAACAGGCTAGTCTACTAATGAACAATACAAAACACCTTAGTCTACCAAACTTTTTATTTGATGCTAGTATTTACACCAGGATTCTATGTGCAGCACACAAGGTAACGATGAGCTAATCCACTTTTGTGAAGATGGGGGTGACTACAATAACTATGGAAAAGACCTATCCCCTATCTCTCAAGGAAACCCAAAATAAGCTAGATATAGCCTTGACACTAGGATAATCTTAATTTCATGTTAACAAATGCTAATTGTTCTTACTCGTTTTACTAAAATAGCTAAATTACTAAGTAACATTGCATAATATTCGTTATCATTCTATTTACAGGTGTATATGTTCAACCTATTATATTTTCGTTATAGATAATGGCAGATAGTCTCTTCTGCAGCCGTTCTTAGTATTGTCACAACGCTGCAGGGGAGGCTAAATGGAAGAGGGCTGAAAGGCAAAAAATCCTTTTTTTCACCCTAAGAAATGTCCTTGTTATTGATAGACATTAGTTTAAAAGAGAAATTTCCCATCTTATTTTATCTGGGAAAATCCAAGTCACGAATTCCATTCTGTTAATTATACTTCCCATTCCTATTGGCCTTCACTGTGTCTTGACGAAGGCATAATTTGGTTGACAAATAATTATTGATATTAAAATTCCTGCGAGAGTCGTAATGAACTTGTGCTAGTCTGCTTTTAAAACCCTATTGCATATCTAATCAATATGATTACGTCTCGTTTGCCATAGTTAAGGCGCGATTACACGGAGACGTTTTCATTGCAATTTGTCCCGCAACGGCTCTGCGACAAGTTGCATTGAGCATTGCAGCGTGTAACCTACATCGCAATTTGAAAACAATGTTGCGAGACAAGTTGCAGCACCCAATCGTTGCAAAAAGTAAAATTCATTTCTACTGATGCAAAGATTGAGTCTCCGTTGCACCGTTTCAAGCATTCTTGCAATTTGTTTCGCAACAGTTGCAAGACAAGTTGCAGAGAAAATTACTCCGTGAAATCGCGCCTTTAAAGGGTTTTAGGCTGTCGATGATGTTGTGAAACTTGAGGAGCACCTAGTCCAGACGTTGGCTCCTTTGATCATTCTGGTTTTTTTGGGCTGCATTGTGGCTCAAATAAACGGGCGATCAAAGGAGGGGGCCAACGTTTGCACTAAGGAGTACCTTGCTAGCTAGAGCGCCATGGTAAAAAAGGCTGCAAACTTGAGATTTCCCATCCAGAGTACTAGTGCTTAACCTATAAAATCACACTAAAACTGCTATAAAACTATACAATGTAATCACCTTCAAGAATAACTACCTACTCTCTGTGTCTTTCAAAGCAACTTTTCAGTTAATGTTAGTCTGTCGCAGCGGCTTCTTTTTGAGGTATTCTTTCTTCTTCTCCGTCTTACAGATTTCTCTGTCTTTTTCCGCGACAAGCCGGGTAGATGCAGTTGATCTGTTTATAGTGCGGCGTCTCTTTGGTTTCAAACTGTTAGTTTTCGTTTTAGGCGGAGAATTTTCTATGGTAAAGGCGGCGTTCGCACTGTGTACTGGTTCTTTTTCTACTGCTTCATCTGCCGCCGCTTCGGACCCTTTTCTTGATCTGAGAGATCTGAGGCTCACATTGCTCTTTGAGGTTTTTTTCGACGGTGGTGTGATATCGATACTGAATGCTATGTTTCCTTCACCACTGTTTTTCTTCTCCGTTTCTTTGTTTAGATTCTCGCTGGACCTCGAGCGAAGGGAGTTGATTTTGGAGGTCACCTTCTCCGTCAACTTTTTGGACTTGCTACGTTTTAAATGACCTTCCGACTTGGAACTTGGTTGGTCTTTGCGAAGCTTAGAGTCAGTTGCAGCAGAGAGTTCCTCAAGCGACTTCCTCTTTCTTGTTCTGAATCCTGTATCAGACATGCTGCCCAACATAGTGTCCCTCTTTCCATTTTCCAATTTGGGACGCGTTTGAGTCTCGATGGGGTAAGAGGTCTTCAGGTGAGGAGGACAAATGGTGTTTCTTCTCTCGAGTTCTGCCAGTCTTCCCCAGTCGTGCCCATGATCCAGAGGCTCCTCCTCCATGTCCCTGGCGAACTCATCACCAACAATAAAGAAGGCAGCACTGGAAGTTGTTCGTCGTGTTGGTGGGGTATTACCTTTGAGGTATACTGCACTCTGTCGGCGGTTTACGACAGCTCGTCCGTAAGTACTAGACGTACTTCGTAGACTTGATCTTGACAAACTGTTGAATGAAGTCGTAGATCTTCTGGAATCTGGCATCGTAGAGGCAAGAGATGTTGTACTTGCTCTGTTTGGTATGTTCAGATCATCTACTTTCATATCAGGATCATCATCAGTAGAAGAACTATCGTCCAGGAATTCTTGGACATTCTGCACAGGAATGACTTTATCCACTTCAATAAGCATCTGTTTCTTTTTCTTGATGTTTTCAGACTGGTTCTGAATATTCTGGATAGTTTGTTTCTGTTCTCTCAAAGTCAAGTCTGCATGTTTGAGCTGTGCTTCGAGAGAATTCACCTGAGAGCCAAGGCGCCGACTGACTTGTCGTTCCTCTTGAAAAAGCTCTTCAAGTTCTGTGTATTCTTGTTCTAACTTCTCCATATGTTCTGTCATCATGGCTATCTCTTCTTCATCTTTGATAGTTTCTTGTTCTTTGTCTTTGAGCTTATTACATTCTTCCTCGAGCTCATTAACTCTTCCATTCCATTCGTTTTCTTTTTCGCTCCATTTTTCCTTCGATTTTTCATATTCGGATGCAATTTTTTCCTTCTCTTCTTTCAAAGTCTCCAACGAAAGTTTCATCTCCTCCAAAGGAATGGCATTCTCTTTAACCTTCATCTGTAATTCACTTATTTCTAACTCCATTGCTTTTTTCATTTCTTCCATCTTTGCCTGCGATTCCTGAGCTTCTTTATGCTTTTCTTCTTCGATCAATTTAATATTTTTATTCAACTCTTCAACTATTTTCATATTTTCAGCCTGGTTATTTTTCTTCTTCTCCATCTCTTCTTGGTGTTTAGTGTTTATATTCTCCTTTTCTTCTTGAAATTCTTTTTTCATTTGCTCCAATTCATTCGTTAATTTTTCGTTGTCAAGGCGGCTCTTCTCGACTTCTTGAACCTTTTCTTGCAGCTGTTGTTCTTTTTCTTCCGCCAGTAGCTTCTTCTCAGATTCAAAGCTATTCTTCATAGCATCTAACTCTTCCATCTTCGCTTTCTCTGAGGCTTCTAACTTCTCAATTTTCTCTTTAACCACCTTTTCGCTGACTTCCAAAGCCTTGGCAGTCTCATCTTTCTGTGTTTCAGATTGTTTGATTTTTTCCTGTAGTTCATTGTTCGTCACTCTCTCATTTGCAAGACTTGCAATAAACCCACGAATCTCCTCACGTAGCTTCTTTTCCTCGTTGCCGTAGTTTTCCTCTTTCTCCTGTAAAAGCCTTCTTAATTCCATCATTTCAGCAGAATGTTTTTGTGAACTTTCAAACATTTCTTTTCTCAGGGCAACTGCTTCCTCCGTCGCTGTGTCTAGTTTTCTCTTCCAGTTGTTTCTTTCGCTCACATAAGCCTCTTCTAATTGGCCATTCTTCTTGGACGCCTCTTCGAATATCTTTTTCTGCTTCTCTTTTGAGTCATCCTTAAGGGTTTCAATTTGCTCTTCCAATCTCTTAATTTTATCTTTTTCTTGTGCCATTTTCTCTTCATTTTCTTGAATCGTTTGTCTGAGTTCCTCAATATTGTCTGCTGCAGCCTAAAAAGTAAGATATCAAGTATCATTAAAATTAGCGGTCATACACAAGCAATTTTGCAGCTGTCAAAGTCACATAGAGGTTTTTTTGCAATATAACTTGTATTTAGTGGCACTCTTCAAATCACAGAGGGTGATCGCTTAATAGGTTCTACTTTATCTCCTTTTCCCTCAAATATAATCTTAGATCGCTCCTCATATTCATGGATGGACGCTAGGCCTAATGAAACCACGTGGATCCTGCATGAACAATTTCTGCTGGTTTTGTGCCTTGATAGAACACTAATAATCATAATTATATTGTGTCGTATTCTATTCTGGCCGTTGTTGCAAATAGCCCGAGTGAACGCCAGGATTTCTGGATAAGAACAATATAGAACTGAATCGACAGTTCTGTAACCCTGACAAATTCAGACGACGAGACATGTTTTCTCGTTTCTTGACGGAAAACCAGAAACCCAGGCGTCTAGATAGTTTTGGATGTAGCAGAAGTATGAAAACAGCAGTGTTAGATACTCACCTTTAACCCATGGCATGCCTTCTGTAGTTCGTCATCCATATCTTTTTTCTCTTTCTTATGATTCTTTCTTTCGTCTTGCAATGTGCTCATCATCTCTTGTACAGCATTGGTATGCTCAGTTTTCAGCTGCTCCATTTGAAACGACAACGTTTCCACCTTCTCTCTTCCGAGTTGAATTTCTTTGTCTAGTGCTTTTTCTAGATCATTCCTTTCGCGAGTCACATCCAGCAGCCTTGCCTCTGTCGCATCCATATCTTGTTTCAGCTTACTGAAAGTTTGAGTAAGTTCTTCTAGACTTTGACCACGCTCTGCTATCTCTTTATTTGCTTCTTGAATTTTCTTATTCAAATCTTCGTTTATTTTCTTCATTCTTGACATGTTTGCCTCATTTTCTTTCTCAAGGGTTTCAGTAATAGACCTCAACTCTGTCGTGAAATCTTTTTTAAGCGAAGCAACCTCTAGACTAACTTGTGCCTTCTCCTCCAACATCATACCTTCCTTCTCCTTCAGTGACGCAATGACTGCCTCACACGAGCTCTTTTCTTCTACAACCTTTGATTCCTTCTCTTTCAAAGCGATTATTTCTGCGCTTAGTTTATTAATTTCTTCTCTCAGCTCTTGCCCTGACGTTCGTAAGTCTTGTATTTCTTTCATCGAGCTGATTCCTCTTTCCTTCAGGTTCTTCTCACTTTGGAGCAAACATTCAATCTCTTCCTTCAAGCGACCGGCATCCTGCATGAACTGCTTTTCGTTTTCCTTCGACTGCGCTAGTTCAGCAGACAATCGATCTTTCTCTTGCTGGAAATTGGTTGCCTTTTGATCAAATGAGAGATTTGCTTGTTGGAAGGCAATATTCAGTTCTTCGTATTTCTTGATCTCGTTTTCTGAAACAAGAAGTCATAGTTAAACTACCTAGTTATCATACAACTAAATATGAATACCATTAATTTGCTGTCTTACCGAGCTCATTCTTGACATCTGCCACCATGTTTTCATACATGTCTCTCACTTGGATCCCTTCGTCTTCAGCTTTCTTGACGAGTTGTTTTAAGTCTTCTCGTTCAAGGGAGAACTCAGCAAGTATGGTGTCTTTTTGCTTGGCAGCCTCTTCGAGTTTTTGAAGCAATTCTTCTCTGTCTTGCTTGTGGATAGAGTTGAGCTCTTCTGTAACATTCCTAAAAACAAAAAAATCATTGAACGCTTAAATCCTAAATAGAAAGTCAGTAGAAATAAATGCATGCAAAATGTGAAAAATCTTCATCGAAAAGGCAACAGTCTCAGTAGGGGAATTTTCCTTGTACGAATGGACACTGAGTTCTTTTTGGCATGTAAGCATTAAGGGTGGAACAAGAGCGAAAGATCAATGGCCACCATGTTGGAGGACACAAAAAGGAAACCAGCAACCACCTTTTGTGAAAGTCATCCAACATGGTGCAATTTTGAAAAGATGATTTCCTGGTTAACAAACCTTATCTTAGATTCATAATCTTTTCTCATTTGTACACAAGATTCCAAGGCTTGCTTCTGATTAGCTTCCAATTCTCCACGAAGTTCACTCAGCTTTTTCTCCGCCATCTCCTCCACCGTCTTCCTTTCAGCTGCCATGTCGTCCATAGCTTTGCTTGTCGTCAGTCGTTGTTTTTCCATAGCAATCACATGTGCTTCGACTTCTCGACGAGATACCATCAGCTCTGACTGAACGCGGGTCAACTCCTTACGCGAGTTTTCTAGTTTTTCATTCGTGGAATTCGATGCTTTTTCGGAATCTTCGAGTTTTCTTTGTAGTGCTTCTTCTCTAAAATTGTATAGTGAAAATACAATTTAAAAGGGTTTGGACTCTTTATCAGCAAATGCAAAAGTGGTAAACAAAGATACCATACTCAAGAGAATGCAATGTGGTATGAAAATAATTTTCTTTCTGGAGAAATCATGGCTTACCTTATTCTACACTGATCTTGAACCTGAGCCAGTCTATCTTCCAGTTCCAGAATTTTGCATTTCGCTTCAACATAATTTTCCTTGTAAGAAAAAAAATAAAACTTGCATCAATGAAACTGAAGTTCATGTGATGGTGATGATACATGATGATAACGATGATACATGATGATGATGATACATGATGATGACGATTATTCATGGTGATGCATGATGATGATGCATGATGATGATGCATGATGATGATGCATGACGATGATGCATGACGATGATGCATGACGATGATGCATGACGATGATACATGATGATGATACATGATGATGATACATGATGATAATAATACATGATGATGATGATGATAAAAATAATGATAATGATACATGAAAACATCCGACGATGATGCTAAAGAATATGATCCTAGAGAAGCTACCAAAATTAAGACGTCTCCACATATTTACTTACTTCATAAGATTTCTTCGATTGCTCCATGTCTTCCAGTGCGTCTTTGATACGTTGGAGTTCCTGTGGTTCTACGGTGGAAGCCAGTTGCTTCTTTATCCGCTCGTTTTCAAACTCCAATTCAATCAGCCGAGACTCGAGATTTGGTGCCTTCAAATTCACGGGGCTTGGAGGAACTGGTAACATTGAAACAAGGCGAGTAAAAGTTAATGTTGAATTGAAGGGTTTATATTACAAGTAAAGCACGTTTAAATAATTGTCCTACATTGGATTAGATCGTCTTCAGCATCTGGATCCGGGACTTGTCGAGCCTTCCAAATCTCTGCTGACTCTGTTGCTGCATGTAATGCCTACCAGAGAACAAACCATGACAATTAGACACTTCTTTTAGGTGCCAAGTGCGGAGAGAAACTATGCGTCGACAGCGCGCGCGATTCGTGCTTCCGTGCGCAACTTCCAAACATGATGCACAGAAACATTTGAACCTTCCACAACAATTTTCTTGCTACAAGACATTATTATGTTAGTGCGAGGAATGATTCACACTAGAAGAATACGACTGCAGCGTGCATTTAAAAGAGCAAGCTTACTTCGTCTCTTTCTTTGATCACTTTTCCAATCTCTTCTTCTCGCCTGTTCAATGCTGCTTGCAGTTCACTGGCTTGGAATTCCCACTGATGAGCTTGTTGCTTGTAACGTTCACATCTTGCTTGAGTTACCTTTATCTCCTCTACCTGATGTATGATATTACAATTAGACTTTATTTATTAGACCTGGGTTTCTGAAGACATCTAGGAGGCGCGCAAAATTACAAGGTATTAGGATTGCATGTTTTAGGGCCTGCTGGATTTATATTGGGTAGTGTCTTTTCGTACTCAGATGAATAAATTATGATTTTCTTTCTTTCTTACTTTCTTTCTTTTCCTTCCTTCCTTTCTCTTTTCCTTTCTTTGATATCAAAGTCGCTTGAACAAGGCAGTAAGAAGTCTCAAAATAGAAAGCTCTACTCGTTACGAGTACTGTACCTGTTTCTCGAACAAGTCTTTTTCCTTCAGAAAACGTGTAGTTCTTTCCTCGAGATTCGAGTTCTGCACTTTGAAGTCTTCAAGCTCGGTGATTCGCTGTTTTAATCTAAAAACACAATTATCAATTCATTTTCAACTACGAAACAAATGAGAGGAGTTGAATGGGAAAGCGATAATTGAACTAGGCAAACATTTTGCAACAATCAACTTCGCGCTAACATACAGTAGAACTAACCACAAGGATGAAAAAGGATCCTCTCTTATCTTAGACTTGTCTCTCTCTCTTACGCGCACTTACGTAGTAGAGCAGTTGGCTAGCTGCTGTGCTTCTTCATGTATTTTTCCTATACTTGTCTAATAAAGGAATACGCCGAAAAAATGAAAGCACACAAATGTCTCAAGTATATAATGTTTGGCTACTTGCTGCCTCTCTCTTACGCGCACATAGTAAGAACAAAAGTTGTTTGTGCATGTATTTTTGCTTCAGTTGCCTCAGATAGGCAGAAGAGCACGCACGAATGTAATATGCAATCCAATGTTATAGAATAAAAAATCAACCTTATAGAGAATTATATGAAGAAAGCCAAAATTGATAGAAATGAAAAAATCGGAGCCCAGATGGGATTTGATCCTTAAGGTTGATTTTTATCAAAGTTGACTTTCTTTATGTATTATTGACATATATTCTCAGCAATTTAGTATTATACTTGTTATTTTCTTTTTCTGCCCTCTCATAGTCGTTTTTGAAATGTTCTAAGAATTCCAGTTCATCAACCACCATCCTCATCTGCACAAGTTCCTTCTGCAATTCTCTGATTTTTGCATCTAAAGAAATGTTCACAGTCAGTACAGGATTAACATATAGTCCACTCAAGATGTCGTAACAAATTTACAATTACTTTCGTTGTTACAATACGTGCAAAAATAATTTTACTCTTTCATGTTACAAGAGCATGTCAGAATTTTGCTTTTAGGAATAAAAGAGGAAGTCAGTAAAATAGAGCTTCTTAAGCTGTATACTTTTTGTGTCAAGCTCTTGGTTCTTCTCTGCAAGATCATCTTCTAAAGTGCATTGCAAATGATTCTGAGCATCAAGGTCCATCTGTAGCTTCTTCACTTTCTGGTGTAGCTTATTTGCAGTAAACTGTGTAGACACAAAAAAATACAATTATAAATACCTTATCTATGTCATCTTTTGCTCTGACGAAGAACTTACTTCCGAAATGTTAATAGTATTAATTCATTCACTTGTTTTAGTATTCAAAACAACAACACAGTTTCAACTAGAAACTGCTAGTCATGATCAAGATTGAAAGGTACAAGGGTACACGAATCAGTTTAGTTTTAGTGCAGTGTCTATTGAATAACATCTGTGTCTAGATAATTTTTCAGTGACCTTGCATATCATGCAGAAATCAATATAGAATAAACTAGCTTTTCATTCTTCTTCAACTCAAACAACTCCAGGGATGGTATATTTTCTTAATTTATGGCTGCTATCTAAATTTCTGATACTATAAGTTAGTAATTTTTGATTGACAGAAAGCAAAAACCCCAGCAGGCATCTAAAAGTTGTGGAAGTTATAGGGGAGAAAAATGAAAAGTGCTGCAGGGCTTAAAATAATGACTAACCATCGCCAGCCAAATTAATTTTAGCTGGGCCATACCTCATTTCTGGCTCAATGTTACTGCCAAATTGACTGGCAAGGCAAAGATCTAAATGGACAAGTTCAGATTCTGGCCAGTTATTATCAGATGACCAAACTTTATTTTAAGCCTTGCAACTACAGTATTGTAACCTTGACTCTTTTACCTGTTGTTGTTTAGTTTTCATTTGTGGTGACAACATGAGAGACATGAGAGGAGAATTGGAGAAGACTGTCTCCTTAACTGGTGAGTTGGTTAATGAGGGAGAGAATACGCAATCTTGTATACTGCTACATTCTTGCTTGTCCTTAAAAACAACTGCATTAAAAAAAAATATTTAAATCACATCAGCCATTATAGTCTCATGCAGCTGCTGTAAGTGTCCAAGCAACACTAACTTTAGGGAAGTGAGCGTTGCATGATAATACTAATAACAGCTGTGTAGGAGACTACTATCATTAATACATTGAGTTACCATTGCAATCCTATATGGATAGCATTGGTGCTGTAGTTATCATACACTGTTACAGAGCTGTTTCATGCCACTGCTGTTTCACTACATATGTCAGTTGAGTATATGTTAGCTTGATGTGCTGTTTTCTCTCTTGCCAAGAGGGTTTTTCTCCACCCAGGTTGAACATCTTGCTAAGATCTTGTTAAGATCTTATAAGAATCTTGCAAGATCTTAAATAGGATCTTACAAGATCTTGTCCAAGATCATGCCAAGATAATGAATAAACTTGCCAAGTTCATGCATAAACTTGCCAAGATCATGTAAGATCAGGCTTGATCTTACATGATCTTATCCAAGATCATGCAAGATCAGGCCTGATCTTACATGATCTTGGCAAGTTTATGCATGAACTTGGCAAGTTTATTCATTATCTTGGCATGATCTTTCATGCTTTTGATAAGATCTTACATGATCTTGGCAATATCTTACATGATCTTTCATAGTCCTAGTAAGATCTGTCATGATCATGGCAAGATCTTACAGGAAGTTGGACAAGATCTTTCATTGTTATGGCAAGATCTTATTTAGTCATGGCAAGATCTTATAAGWTCTTGGACAAGATCTTTTATGGCCATGGCAAGATCTTACAGGATCTTGAACAAAGTCTTCTTTCATAGCCATGCCCAGATGTTACAGGCTCTTTTCAGGATATACAGGATATTTTAAAGATCTTTCAGGGTCTTCTGCAGGAGGTTATAACAAGTTCTAATGGCTTGCAAACATGATTTCTGATTTCAGATAATGATGAAACTTGTAAGGCTTTATTATAATTATGTAAACTTTATTGAAAACATATGTATCAAATACTGATAAAGTACATGAAAATTTAAAAGCTATCTTAGATTAAACTTAAATTTCATGCAAATCTCTACTGACAATATTCTATGTTCAACAATATTCCATACACATTGCTTAAATGTTTTAAACACAGGAAGAAGAAATGTTTTAAACACTTTGAAGTAATGTGTGAGTCATATTGAGCTTAACAAACAAGAAATGAAAAGTCGAAAATGCAAAATGTGAATCTTGATTAAAGCATGGTTACCACCATTTTGATTCTATTTTTAATTTGCTATTAAAACTATGATCAAATTTATCATAACTGTATAATGACAGATACAGTACAGTTTATAAAGATTTGTTACGACAATGGCTATTGAAATAGTTAATAGAAGTGACCTTCTCATTTGATAGTGAAAAATTAACTAGTAACTAACTCTTTCATTTCATAATTGAGGAATTGAGTGGATATAGCACAAAATTGAATAGAACACCCTGAATAATTGTAAGTGTACTCATTTTCCCTGACAATTTCCTGACAATTTMCAATTTGTTGCTTCTCTGAACTTYGTCTCTGTCATRATTGGCATGCAGGTGACCTCTATAACAGAAAAAAAAGAAAATTAGTTTGTTTTCTGAATGATTAGGTTATATTTCAGAAAAATATTTTTTAATTTTATTTTTGAGTTACATAAACCTTATTCATGTATCAATATTGTGAAAGGAAATGATTTCTTAAGAATTACAGTATTGCCTTAGAAAAATTGAAGCGAATGCTTCATTTTCGAATTCTTAGATTGATCTGAGTCAGCCTGTATTTCAAAGTCATGAAAATATTATTAAGGTTACTGGAGACCTTCAGGGATATGTTTCATTTGAGACTCTCTACGCAACACTTTAAATAAAACCCCATAAAACTATATATCGTTTTAAAGGTCATATAATAGAGATTCAGAAAATAATATTATTTAAAAAAGAATTTTTAATTTGAAACAATGCTGGAGCCTTAAACACAAATCGGGCACGTTCAATAGAGGTGAATTAATGGACATGGATTTAGCTCGTATAAGCCAAAAGAATTTCCCTGTGTGAATAAGCAAAAGATAAACTACAAAAGGGTGTGTGCGATTTTTGATATTTTGCTTCTTTAAAAAGTTTTTAAATTTTAAAGTTGGAACGTTGAAAAATTTCAATGCCGGTTAATGTTTTACCGCATAAAAGACGGAAAATATCAAAAATCGCTCATACCYTTTTGTATATTATCTTTTGCTTATTAACATAGTGAGGTTCTTTTGGCTATACACGCTAACGCTAATGCCATTAATTCACCTCTACGAAACGTGCCCGATTTGTGTTTAAGGCTCCAGCATTGTTTCAAATTAGAAAATCACAAAACGACCTTTTAAACGATACATAGTATTAGGGGGTCTTGTTGAACGTGTTGCGTAGAGAGAGTTTAAGACAAACATACCCCTGAAGGTCTCCAGTAACCTTGACTAAAGTACACTTATATTGCGCTGATACAAATTTACATTTTTATCTGCTCAAGTATGTTAAGGCTGGGTTTTTTATCAAATCACAAAATAGCTTATATTTTCTAATGACTCGTTAAATCTCAAACCAGTGAAAATAAAGTCTGGCCATCAAGTACTGATTAATTAGAGTTTCTGAAATTTAGCGCGGCATTCTCCAAGAGAAAATCAGATCCAACACGTGTTTTGAAGAAAAAAAATCTAAGTTAGCGCGGCATTCTCGAAGAGAAGATCATTATAGGATCCAACACTTTTGAAAGTTAGACAATGACAATGACAATCTTTTATTTAGCACCATAAATATCACACAAGATAAGTTAGGACAAAGAAATAAATTGCCATATATTTAGGTGCAGGCTAACTGGAATTAACCTATATGGGCTATACTAGGCCAGTTAGCTTTACTATCTTATTAGATTATAATAACAAGTATTTAGGTCAGTTAGCGCGGCATATCGAAGGGACGATCACACTATACGGTCCAACACTTTTGAAAGAATAAGCGCGGCATTCTCGAAGAGAAGATCATTATACGATCCAACACTTTTGAAAGAATTCTAAGTTAGCACGGCATTCTCGAATAGACGATCAGATCAGATCCAACACCTTTGAAAGAATTCTAAGTTAGCGCAGCATTTTCGAAGAGAAGATCACCGTACGATTGAGCACTTTTGAAAGAATTCCAAGTTAGCGCGGCATTCTCGAAGAGAAGATCACCGTACGATTGAGCACT